TCTCAGAGCGGCGGTTTGGGAAACTGTAGATCCCACAGAAGCGTTTGCAAAGAAAAGTTGTTGTTTTTTTAAAGGGACAATAAAACAGTGGATGAACCGACACACTCATGGCTGAGAAGAGGGAATGAGCGTGGTTTCTACGTCTTAGCATGAGCAAATACACATTGGTGTAATGAAGAATTCTGCATGCTTGCCGAGAACTGCATGCACCTCCAAGTAGGCTAGTGCTTTAAATTATATTAATTATGCTTTTAAGCCATATTAAACAATATGTTTTTCTTTGTGGGGTTCATCAGTGGTGATAAATGGTTTGAAGTAATATATTTTTTATGAACGATTAGAGTCGTCGATATTTTATTACACTTAGTAGACGTTGCAGTCCTTGAGATTCAGCAAAAATATACGGTGATAACTGCATTTGATCAATGCGCACAGCAAAGTGTCTTTAAAGGACCTTAGGAGGTGGATACATTATTCCGCAGAACAGACGCTGTTAGCTACCTGTCAAGATGGGCATCCATCTCTTTTGTCAGCATAAATGAGCGTCAACTTCCACGAGGCACATGCATTGGATGTTGCAGGTTTCTAAACAGAGACCGTTAGATTAGCCTACTTCTGTAAACCCCTCACACCACAGGATCAAACCTCCCCTTTTTCATCCTGGGGTAGTCTACATTTGTCACTAAACAGTTTACTTATATAATATGCAAAGTACTGTTCATTTATAAACTCATGGAAGTTAAAGGTTCAGTGTGCAAGTTTTTGTGACATCTAGTGTTGAGGGTTGCAAATTGCAATCAGCGGTGCATTCAGGTGCTCCTCGGATGGCCCCTGTTCCCGAGTCGGGAAGTTGTCCTTCTGACTGCAAACTAACCATTATAATCACCTTACAAATTACATGCTTGAAAATAATGTACATGCAATATGTGATTTTGTATGAATCAAAGTCCTGTTTACTTCTTTATGTCCCATTTACACTTTATTTCTGTTTTTGCCATAAAGATTAGAGGAAAAAAGATGATGATTATATTCCCGACACCACATGAATGCACCATAAATCACTGCTCCCTTTCCAAGAGAGGCTACAGTGGCCGACACGCTCTGTAGGCTCTTGTGCAAAATAATACTTCTTCTCTTCTTACTTCTAATGAACCAGATGACTATTACTAATAATGTTACATGTTCTTCTTCTTTGTACATATTCAACTTTGTGACACCGTCTGTAGCACCGTTTGTCCATTCGGGCTGCTGTAGAAACACGGTAGAGCAACATGGCGAGGTCCATGTAAGAGGACCCGCGGTGTGTGTAGATAGAAATGTCTCATTATAAGGTAATAAAAACATAACGGTTCATCATAAGGTCTTTATACACCACTGAAAACATAGTTATGGATGTTTTATTGCATTTCTGTTTAAGGATACAACAGCCAAAGCAAAAATACCCACAATAACAACTCACATTAATTGAAAACATTGTTTTGGGGGTAAAAATGTTGATGATTTGGTGGTTTAGTATATTTATATATAATTTACAGTGAAGAACAATTTACAGTAAGTTGCTGTTAAATACAAATGTGGTTATTGCACACACTGCTCCAGTACTAATCAAATTATTCAAAGAAGTGCATGAGCATGTGCCTTCTATATTTAGGTCAAACCTTCTTGAAGTGTCTACAGTGGACATTTATATAATAACAGTGTGTGAAATGACAATGTGACAGTGTGCAGGTGTCTCTGGTAGTGAATTATCACGTGAATCTGCAGCTCTCCTTGGCTTCATGGAGCTTCATAGTGAGTTTTAGCTGATCGTTTATCTGTCCACCCACAACTTTACCTCTCTCAGATTTGTTTTCATCGAACAAGCCCTCATAAACCTGCAGTTCGCAACCTGTTCAGCAGCAAACAGCAGACAGACAACTGGAACATAAAGCAGTCGTGTCTGGTGGAATCCAGCCATAATGCTAGTTCTAAGCTGCTCAGATCATATAAACAAATATACATGTTTTTGTTGGATTGAACAGGTTCTCCACCAAAGTACAATTCAGTCAGATTTACCGGCATGGTAAACAAGAGAGATGAAACTCGTTGACCTTTGAAGCGGTCGATTCTTTAATTATTTAAGGGTCTTTTAAGGGTTTTTCATCAAGTTGAATCCAAGTTAAAATAACTACCCTCTCTTTCTTTCTCTCTCTCTCTCTCTCGCTCTCTTTCTGCATGAGGTTATTCTGCATATTTCTCCTGTTTTAGCTTCTCTGCATTGGCTTCCAGTAAAATCCAGAATAGAATTTAAAATCATTCTTCTTACCTACAAAGCTCTTAATGGTCAGGCACCATCTTATCTTAAAGAGCTCATAGTACCTTACTACCCCACCAGAGCACTGCGCTCCCAGAATGCAGGGTTACTTGTGGTTCCTAGAGTCTCCAAAAGTAGACTAGGAGCCAGAGCGTTCAGCTATCAAGCTCCTCTCCTGTGGAACCAGGTTCCAGTTTGGGTTCAGGAGGCAGACACCATCTCCACATTTAAGAGTAGGCTTAAGACTTTCCTCTTTGATAAAGCTTATAGTTAGGGCTGGCTCAGGTAGTCCTGAACCATCCCTTAGTTATGCAGCTATAGGCTTATACTGCCGGGGGATTTCCCATGATGCACTGAGCTGCTCTCTCCTCTACTTTCTCTCCCTCTGTATGCAACCTTATCCCATTATTGCATGTTACTAACTCAACTTCTCCCCTTTCTGGTAGTCTTGTGCTTTCTCGTCTCTCTCCTCTCTCCTCCTATCACTTCCTGCAGGTTTTCTGGCTCTGGAGCTGTGGAGTCTGGATCTGTGGTTGCGGGTCACCTGCTGCCCCCGTGTTCCTGCTTGACACCCTCTGCTGCAACGACTATTGTTACTAGTCCTATTGCTATTATTGTTATTTTTTTATTATGCCATTTTTCATTTAGTCTATAGCAACATCACCTTTACTGTCTGTACCTCTGTGTGTATATTGTGTAGGCTGCCTCCCTCCCCTCTCTCTCTCTTGATTATTATTATTATCTGATATGACATCCTAATTATTGCATGAATGATATTTATCCTGGTTAAAATAAACAATTTGATAGCCTGTTTCCCCTCTCTGCTGAGCAAGACATTTGTGCAAAATGATTAAAGGCCCAACCATAAGCAGGGGAGTTCAGTGATTGAAGCAAATAAGTGAAGATTTACAGTATACATGAATTAAACTTTATGTACAAACTTCACTTGCTTTGTGACTTTATTGTTTTTCCTCTGGGTCCCATCACCCGGAAGACCTCATGTTTGAAAATGAAACAAATCTGTTGGTGTGTTAGCTGCTGCTCATCTGCTCCAGGCTCTATTAGGCACTGAGAGAATAACAGACACACAACAACCACAAGGTCGAGTTGCAGTGTGGGTCATGAAGGTGTCGGGTTTGGACAATTATGAAGAATGTGTGGAATAAAAAAGGAAATATCTGCAGCTTCTGCTGCATTGATTCTGATCCTTTATTTTATTCTGTCGATAAACCCACTGATGGTTATTCTCTGAGTCTAATAAACTAAACTTGTCACGCCTTTCCTGCCAACTGTTGGACAGAAAACCACACAGCTCTGACCTACAAAGAGGAAGTGGGCAGGTTTAAGTGTAGAGACCGACGGCTTGGTGGCGATGTGTTGATCTTATATCAGTTAGAGGCACAATGGGACAAACATGCACACAGTGGCTGCTCTGTAAGTACAATATCTCTATATCGGCTGTCTTGAGGGTGTCAGGATGAACTTATATTTTATTCGTCAGCATGAAGTAAACATTCAAAACAAAGAACATTTTTTTTATAAAACCGAAACAAGAAGAGAAACGTAGTTTAACAGTTTAATATGTTTAGATGCAATATTCTTTCACTGCAGTGCAGCCTTTTAGAGCAGGAAGAAACGTAATCATAACTGGGTGACGTGATATACTGAAAACAAAATCCTTGATGACGTCTGATCCCAGATTACTGTACAAGTGTAAAATGAAGTGATAATTAATTAACGTAATAATTTATGTTGATGTAGAGTTTTTAATCACTGTGCTCACTCACCTCACCAAACTGATTATAAGTTACATTTTAATCACACAGTTACATAATAGTCTTTCTTCATAACAGTGACTGGGAGCTGCTCCCGATGTTCTTCTGATCTCTGCACTCACACTAATATGAAAATGGCAGCTCATCCTGAGTAATATGAAGACGTCAAACTAAAACTCCTTCTTCTCAATCATGTGTGTGTTGTGGGCTTGATGATGCTTAACTTAAACAACGAGCTGGATGGAGATGGATATTTCATTCGATCCCCTGTGTGTGTAATCTTAGCTAAATGTGCAACCTTAAATTAATATTTGCTGCATGAAGCACTACAGAAATATGTGTGTTTGACATGATACAGGTGAGATGTTCAGTAACCAGAAAAACAGAATTTGTTTGATTTATTATCGTGTTAAACATAAAACCTTAAACCAATCTGAGACTCACTTCCCTTCAGGGCCGACCGCCATGCTGTGCTGCACAGCCACACAAGGTTGGTAAAGCTCTCCTCTCACAATACAAAACCCTTAAGTGAAAACTTTCTACAAACCACTGGGCGAAATGTTAGTTAGTTTCAGAGCTGTATTCAGCTGCAACAAACGACAGATCATAAAACACTATGAATCAGCTCTGTATTGAGCTCCTTGAAGCTATTTATGTGGAATCAAGTTCAGAAGTTAATTTTATGTTTGTTAAACTTCAAGCTGTCTTTTAATTTTGTTTAAAATACAATTAATTCCCATCAGCCTCTCTGACTGTGAGTCCCAGCAGCTCTCAGTTTTTCAGCTGGAAGTCTGTCTCTCTGAGCTGTGAGGAGGACGACAGCTCTGCTGGATGGACGCTGAGGAGGAACACAACCAGAGAAACCAGGACTCAGTGTGATGACTGGGGAAGATCAGCTGGTTCATCATGTGACATTAGCTACATTTTCCCAGGGGACAGTGGAGTTTACTGGTGTGAGTCCAGAGAGGGAGCAACCAGTAACACCATCAACATCACTGTCACTGGTAAGATCAGACTGTGGAGTTAGTGTTGATGAAGCTGTGTGTAAATGATGAAATGCTGTAGTTTGTCTCTGTGTTGAGGTGGACCAGTGATCCTGCAGAGTCCTGTCCTCCCTGTGATGGAGGGACATGATGTCACTCTGCACTGTAAAACAAAGACCCCTCCCTCCAACCTCCCAGCTGGTTTCTATAAAGATGGCTCCCTCATCAGGACTGAGCCTACAGGTCACATGACCATCCACCATGTTAACAAGACTGATGAAGGCCTCTACAAGTGTGACATCATCGGTCGTGGAGAGTCTCCATCCAGCTGGATCTCTGTCACAGGTGAGGAGGTTACCTTTGATTTCAGTACTTATTTCATCCAGAGATTCATCTGACCAGGTGGGATTCTCTCTACAGGTAAACCTACAACCTCACCCCCGCCCACATCCGCAGCTCTGCCCACCCCGACAACCCCGCCTCCTCCAACACACCCCCTGCCTCAGCCCCCTTCCAGCTTGTGTTTAGACTGATCTACCACCTGGTGGTCTTCTGTCCGTACTGCATCTCCACTGTCCTCATGGTGTCTTTATTTCGCCGTAGGGCCACAAGTAATACTGAATCATTCACCGGTCTTACAAATAATCTGTCAATTAATAAATCAATCATTACATTTATTCATTTAGCTGACGCTTTTATCCAAAGCGACTTACTTTACTACTCATTATATATATGTCAGATGTCACACGCCTCTGGAGCAACTAGGAGTTAAGTTCTATGCTCAGGGACACATTGGTGGATGTGTCACAGAATCTCACAGTAAATTTGTCTTATCCACTGCACCATCACCATCAGTGATGTTAATGATTGATAGTTGTGTCTAACATGTTTTCTTTCTAACCTGCTCTGACTGCAGGAAATGACCTGCCTGCCTCTATGGTGATGACCCCGCCCTCCCAGGCTAAGGAAGGTTCGGGTGATGAGTAAATAAACCACAGATTTCCTACATAGATCACAAACAGCAGAGGACCCAGAACACTTCCCTGTGGAACTCCTCATGCTCTAGTTTGACTTGTAGATGATGGTTTAGTGAAGCCTGATCACTCAGAGAAAGACTGACTGAGGTGAACTTGATTCATGATACAGACCCCTGGACATCTGGACAAAGCTGTCAACATGTTTTTGGTCCAAATGAAAGCTGATAGTTGTTCAGGTTCTGGTTTGAGTTTTGTTCTTACTCTTGCTTGTTTGGTTTAGATGTTTTAGAACAGGGTGACATATTTACTTTTTATTTACTTTAAAAGTTTTTAATAAACCTCACAAAATTGACCAAACCTCAGTCTCTGTGTCAAGTTATACAGAGTGATTTGTGGATCTTTGTTGCACTTTTGCCTTCTTTTGATTTTGATTGGCTGTTTTGATTTTGTTTCTTTATGGATTTGTTTGGACTCAGTCACTCTCTGTGGCACAGCCTGTTAATAAAAACAGTTTGAACATATCTAATAAAGAAGTGCTGACTAAGGGTAAAACTTCTTTAAGCAGCCTAGTTGGGATGGGGACTTAAAAGACAGGTTGATGCTTTAGACATATTTGAAGTTAGCTGGTAAAGATGGAGGGAAACAAAGCAGTCTAAACATATATCTGGTTTTACAGCAGTTTCTGAGGTTCCTGATTTTGGAGATAAGTTGTTGCTAGTTGAGGGCAGGTCTTGCCGAATTTTGTCTCTAGTAATTTAAATTTTATGATTAAAGAAGCTCATGAAGTCGTTACTAATGATGGCTTTAGGAATACATGGTTCAACAGAGCTGTGACTTTCTGTTAGTCTGGCTACAGTGCTGAAAAGGAACGTCTCGGGTTACGTATGTAACCCTGGTTCCCCGAGAAGGGGAACGAGAGACTGCGTCGGTTACGACACTATGGGAACGCCTCTAGGCGAAGCAGGTCTGAACGTGAATGAAATCACTCCAATCCTATTGGCCTGTTGCTAGAACGGTAAGGTGTGACGGAATAACCGGAGGAGTATAAAGCACACCTGTACACACTCATCATTAGCTTAAACTATGAAGCAGGCGCTTCAGGCGGGGAGAGAGGTGCGGCGGACCGACGCAGTCTCTCGTTCCCCTTCTCGGGGAACCAGGGTTACATACGTAACCCGAGACGTTCCCCTTCGAGGGAACTCGAACTGCGTCGGTTACGACACTATGGGAACGAGATACCCACTAAACCGTGCCGAAAACCCCGCCTGCCCCTGTGTGCAATAAGGTGGCACTACTAAGAGGAGAGCGCATGAGTGCCAGGTGCCGAAGGAAGGTCAAGACTGTAAAACCGAATAAATGTGTGCGGAGTGGCCCAGCCAGCCGCTAAACAACATCCTGCAAGAGGCCCCGGAAAGGGGGGCTCGAGAGGCCGCCTTGCCTCTGGTAGAATGAGCCCTCACAGCCACAGGTGAAGGCAAACCGCGCACCTGATAGGCCAGGGAAATAGTCTGAACAATCCAGTTGCTAATAGTATGTTTGGATGCAGGGAGCCCGGCCCTGGGAGACCCAAAACACACTAGCAGCTGGTCAGCCTTCCTCCAACGGGAGGACCTCAGAGTGTAAATACTCAGTGCTCTGACAGGGCAGAGCAGATGAAGTCTCCCGTCCTCCGCCGTCACATGAGGTGGAGGATGAAATGCCTGCAGCACTGTGGACCCTGCCGCACAAGAAGGCACTTTAGGGATGTATCCTGAACGAGGGTGCAGGATAGCCCTAATATTCCCCGGGGCAAACTCCAGGCTTGCGGGGAAACCGAAAGCGCTTGGATCTCCCCCACCCTCCTCAGAGAGGTGATAGCAAGGAGAAAGGCCATCTTGAGGGTCAAGTGCTTAGCCTCAGCTGACTCCAGGGTTTGAAGGGGGCCTCAGCCAACGCCCCAAGAACCACTGCCAGATCCCAAGTGGGAACCTTGGACCGAGTCGCAGGTCTCATCCTCCGGGCACCACGGAGGAAAAGTACAACCAAGGGAAGTTTCCCCAAGAACCCCTCCCTCAGAGGGGTGTGGAAAGATGAAATAGCTGCCACGTACACCTTGAGGGTGGAAGGGAAAAGACCAGCAGAGAACCGGTCCTGGAGGAACTCAAGTACCTGAACCACCGGGCAGGTAACAGGGTCCACCGACCGCTCCCTACACCAAGTAGAGAAAACACTCCACTTCAGGCCGTACATCCTCCGTGTGGACGGGGCCCTGGAGCTCAGGAGGGTCTCGACTGCTCCGGCTGTTAGACCCGCCTCTAGGTACTGTGCCCCCTCAGGGGCCAGACCCACAGTCGCCATATGGCGGGGCAAGGGTGAAGAACCCGGCCCTGCGCCTGGGACAGCAGGTCTCTCCTCAGAGGGACCCGCCCCGGCGGGCCGTCCAGGAGCGACATGATGTCCGAGAACCACACCCGGGTTGGCCAGAACGGGGCTACGAGCAGTAGGCCGACATAGTCCTGGCGGACCCGCTCCAGAACAGCGTACAGACGTAGCCTCGGCCACGAATGTACCATGGCGTCCAGACCCAACGGGGCTGGAGGAACGAGAGAAACCATAGCGGGCAGTGCGTAGTCTCTTGAGACGCAAACAGATCCACGTCTATGGGGCCGAACTCTTCGCACAAGAGCTCCACCACTTCGGGGTGAAGTCTCCATTCCCCGGTCCTCAGCCCCTGCCTCAACAGCAGGTCTGCTCCCTGATTCTGCGTCCCCAGGAGATACATCGCCCTGAGCGATAGTAACCTCTGCTGGGACCACAGGAGGATCTGACGTCTGTCCAGAGGGCGCGAGCGCAGACCGCCCTGGTGATTCAGATAGGCCACCACCGCTGTGTTGTTCTCCTCGGAGCGAACCAGGACGTGGTGGCCTTGGAGATCGGGCAGGAAACTCCTTAGAGCCTAGAACACCGCCAACATCTCGAGACAGTTGATATGCCACTCGGATCGATGCACCTGCCAGGATCCCCTTGCAAAGCGGCCGTCCATGACCGCGCCCCAGCCCGTGAGGGAGGCGTCTGTCGAAAGAACCAGCCGGCGACAAGACCCTCCCAGCACGGGCCCCTGGGACAGGAACCAAGTTTCCTTCCAAACTGATAGGGAACGAAGACACTTGTGCGTAACCCAAACCAGACGGAGAGGATTCCCCTCGGGGAAAAACCCTTGTTCCTTAGCCACCACTGCAGGGGTCTCATGTGCAGCAGTCCAGATGGTATTACGCTGGACGCAGCCGCCAGGAGACCCAACACTCGTTGAAAGTGTTTCATAGTGATGGCGTGGCCTAACTTCACCCCTTTCACGGCAGCCAATATGGTGTCGACACGTGCCGGAGACAATTGTGCCCGCATCGTTGTCGAATCCCATGCAACCCCTAGGAACGTAGCCCGTTGGGTGGGCGCCAGCACGCTCTTCTTTGCGTTGAGCCTCAGCCCTAAACGCCGCAGACGAGCCAGAACGACAACTCGATGCCGAACCGCCAACTCTCGAGACTGGGCTAGGATGAGCCAGTCGTCGATGAAGTTGAAATCCGGATGCCCCGGAGCCTCAGCGGGGCCAGTGCTGCATCCATACACTTGGTGAATGTGCTAGGGGAAGTGCCAGGCCGAATGGAAGAACCCGATACTGGTAAGCCACACCCCCGAAGGCAAACCTCAGGAACTTCCTGTGAGAAGGACGGATGGAGACCTGGAAATAGGCGTCCTTTAGATCTATCGTGACGAACCAATCCTCAGATTGGATGTGCGTCACGGTGGCGGGGATGATGAGCATCTTTAACCTGAATCTCCTCAGAGACCGGTTAGAACCCGCAGATCCAAAATAGGGCACGCAGCCCTCCGTCCTTCTTGGGGACTATGAAGTACCGGCTGTAGAACCGGCGTCTCTGTCTGGGGGGAGACACGTTCCACGGCCCCTTTCCTCAGCAGAGTACAAACTTCCTGTCCCAACACCGGACCTTGCTCCGGGCGGACCACAGTCCAAACCACCCCCTCTCTTCTGTTGAATTTGGAGGGCGGATTTTGAACTGTAGTCGATACCCATCTATGGCAGTGCGCAGGACCCGCGGAGAAATGTTCGTCAGGCTCCGCCAAGCGTCTGCAAAGTCTGCCAACGGAAGCAGCCCCTCGGGGCTGGTGGTCGGTGTCTCGTGTGATCTTCTGGTGGACCCCTGAAGCCCCAGAACGGCAGGGGGGAGCCGCCGAAGATCCACGGTGAGTGAGTCGGGATGCCGTCCGCCTGCAGACCCTCGGGGCAGGCAGTACGGCGCGGACTCGGTGGTGGCAGGTGCGTCCTGAACGTGTAAACGGCGGGATAACATCACCTGTTCCCACGGCGGAGGGGACCTCGGTCGGCCTCCGGGGGGGGGGGGTCTCCCCTACCCCGGTCTTCCCTGAGCTCCGTCGGGACTGGATGACGGTCCTCAGATCGCGTCTCTCAGACGGCTGAGGGTGAGAGCGCCGTCTCGCTGCCCCAGCTCCTCGGGGGGCCCCCGAGAAGCGACACTCTGCTTCCCTCCTCTCCGTAG